ATTCCAACAGAGACCCTGACAAAGCTAAAAATTATATACTTGGTAAGGGTAATTATATAATAACTTTAAAAACACTCTACCTTAAAAACAAAAACTTTATTTAATGCCAAATTCTTTTTGCTATCTATAAGTATATACTTGATGGCTTATACTTAGTTTCTAGAGTTTCTGTACTTAAATGATTTATTTAGTTTCAGTTGAATATTTTTTTAAAATTTTTGATAAGATATAAATAAGCTGCAAAGACAGGCAAGATGAAGTGAAGACAGTTTGTTGGTTGAATTTTAAACCATTTGCTTTGCTCACTTTGGAATGTGTGGTATTGGAACTGTAGAGGTTCAATCAAAGTATGGACTACACACACACACACACACACACACACACACACTTTGAGTTAATACACACACACACACGCTTTGAATTGATTTTGTTCTTTTTTGTCCTTGTTGGTTCTTCACATAGATTAACTTTCTTCATCTGTTCCAAAGAAAATCATTTTGCTGTTTAATATTTGCTTTGAATAGGACATCCAGTGTTTTCTATATCATGTTGTAAATAGATAATATTCCTTTACATTTCAGTTAGTGGAGAGCCATTACCATCTCTGGATTTGATTGTGAGGCAGATGATCTATTTTTAAGCAAATGTTTTTAGCTTTTATCAATTCTGCTTTTTCTGAAAGGTTCCCTTTTGTTGACTTACAGATTCTCTCAATTTTACTTGTTGTTTTGCTGTTTTGCCTCCAGCAACTTTTCTTGTCATAGAAACTGTGCTGCGGGCCGTTTGAGTTCTATTGATAGTAGAAATATTTCTGCAGATTAAAGAGGGGGCGAGAAAAGCAGACTAATGAATATGTCAGTTTTCATTCCTGAGAACAGGAACACCCTGAGTATCAGATAATTTGGGGGAAATTAAAAAACTGCACAAGTCCCTGAATGCTATTGTTGGCCTACACACAGTGTGTGCATGCATGCCATAAGTTATTATAAACTATTGTAACTCAGCCTTTTTAGTTTTTAGTAATGGATATATATTTTTAATGACTGTCTATATAGACTTACCACTTTTTCTCTCTTAGAGCTATTAGATATGTTTTGAAAGTTAAGTCTTTCAGTCTGTTTAATGTGGCTATTACCAATCAGCACAGAGTATTCTGGACATTTTATAGTTAAGATTTAAGTTTCAATTATTCATCCAAAGCAAATTTTGAGTAAATGGAGATGAATATAACCCAGAATCTAGCCTTAGGTGCTCACAGCTTTGCAAAGAGACAGGTACAAGACCAAGTCACATAGTACAGCCTGTAAGGGCATGGGATGAGAACCACCAAAAACATGCGTGTGCCCCACCCTTGGTGAACTGGAGGACCCAGAACACTTCCCAGAAGTAGTCCCTCACAGAAATCATCATCAGATGAGTTTTCTAGAAAGGGGGACAACAGAGCAAAGGCACAGAGATGGGAGGAGACCAACAGCATGCATGCGGAGCCACAGCTCACGTTGTTGGAGCCCAGCCTGCAAGTTCAGGGCAGGGGCACTAGCTACAGTCATGTTATGGAGTCCTCTTGATACCAGGGAGGCCTTGACCCATCCTCAGGCCACTGATGGCTGTTGGCAAGGTGCAGTGATGGCTGTGGCAGGGAATCCTGGTGGGAGGAAGTCAGAGTCATTCAGGCAAGAGATTATAAGGGTCTGAATTATGACAGTGGGAGTATATATGGAATGGGAAAATTATTCCAAGAACTGTTTCAAAGGAATAATTACAGCATGTGGGAATGGCTGAATGGAGGTTTCAGATGAAGGGGAGGAGCTGTGGAGAGCCCCAGATCTTGGCTGGGGCATGTTGTGGGACGAGTCTTGGAATACCAAAGGAGACAAGGAGTGCATTAATGATTAATTCCCTGCTAATGTCGTTTGTAACTATGTTTGTTTTGTTCTGAGTTCTAAGCTATTAAATTAAATCCATCCCTAAGCAAATTCACATTTGAAAGTATAATGAGTTGACAGTTCCAGTTTCTGGGGATGACCTACACAGGGTAAGCCAATATGCTTCGAAAAGCCAAGGTGTTGTGGCGTGGAGACAGAATTGGACTTGCTTTGTGAATCAGAATAGAGAAGGATGCTGAACAACGGGCCTGATGGGAGCATAGTGGTCATCTGCTGCTGGGGGCCTGAAGCCTCTCCTGTGGGAAAAGGAATGCCTGTCCAGTTATTCTGCCCCAGGGAATTAGGAGTGGAGGGCTCTCTTCCCTGTGACCCTTGCTGACATGAAGGGAGGAGACTCGTTTTCTTGAGTTTCAGTGAAAGTGGCTGGCCTTGTCCGTGGCTCTTGGCCTTTCTTTTCTTTTCTTTTTATTTATTTGAGAGGTAGAGTTACAGACAATGAGAGGGACAGAGAGAAGCGTCTTTCTTCCATTGGTTCACTCCCCAAATGGCCACAACGGCCGGAGCTGCACCAATCCAAAGCCAGGACCCAGGCGCTTCTTCCTGGTCTCCCATGCAGGTGTGGGGTCCCAAGCACTTGGGCCATCTTCTACTGCCTTCCCAGGACATAGCAGAGAGCTGGATTGGAAGTGGAGCAGCCGGGAATATATCCAGTGCCCATATGGGATGCTGGCGCCGCAGGTGGAGGATTAACCTACTGCACCACAGCGCCGGCCCCTCTTGCCTTTCTTTCACCGGGCGCGCCTACCACAAAGTTTAGAAGCAAGCATCTCCAAGTACCTGGTTTCAGTCAGTAAGATCACCGATGTGGAGGGTAACACAAACTTCCCCATAATGAATGAAGAGTGATTTAGAATGGAAAAGAATATTCTAGAATGAAGAGCCCATTAACCTTTGAGAAGTTTTACTTCCCTTCATTTAATTTTTCCATGTTGTTTTTCTCTTCAGGGAAAATAATTTAACCAAGGCAGCCAGTCTCTGATGAAATTAAGTGAAGTTCAAACTGCAGGCTGTGTTTGCTAAGCTCTCACCTGACACCTTTTGAGCTCTAAGCCACAAGGAATCTTTGCTGCCCCGCCTAAGAGATCAGTGGCTCTGCCTCGTGGCCTGAGGAGAAAGCCCTTCTTTGATCATTTGACTTTGTTTACCCAGATTGGAATATGTCAGTGGTGTGGTAATGCTAGGTATTTTGTCTTTTACCAAAACAGTTGATTATAATGCACTGCTTAGGTTTTGCCTTCTATAAAAGGAATATTTGTGCTTTTATGTGTTTGATTCACACAGTGCAGTTTTCTCAAGTCCTGTTATTAAGTGGTTACGTCCAGAAAGCAAAAAAATATGCTGAAGTAGTATTTTATTGGTGGACATCTAATATTTTCACTAACCATAACTGTCAGATTGTTCTGACTTCTGAGTGCCCCAGCTGTAAAAATTACACAGAAAATGTGGCCTGCTGTGGCATTCTAAATAGGCTCATAGGAGGCCTCCAGCACATGGGTCACCTTCGTTTGCCTTTTCCTCCCCAAGTAAAGAGTGTAATGCAAACACCCTTGCTCCTTCAATAATTCAAACCCTCTCCTCTCAAAGACATCATTCTGATATTGCTGAACTGTCAGAATGATGGGATTTTTGTTTCATCTTAAACTGGTTCTTGGCTACATTTTGTTCAGAAAAGGGTCTTGCTCTTTTGTGTTAGCAAATTTTGATGAAATTGGGTATTTGGTTTCTTTAAAGGATGGAAAAGGGGAAATCCCTTTACAACCGACTCACGATTGACATTTTGGAAGAAACATCTCCTTAATACATTCGTGATTTTCCTCAGGTCTTCTTTGTCTTCACTTTTAATCCTAAACTTGAAATGGCGGATAATAGCCTCTCATTTTTAGCGTTATTCTTTGATCTTAATTAGAAGATGCTTATTTGCACTAAACTCAACACTTAAATTGAAACAGAATGCATTTTTATATTTTTCTCCATAACCTGCTGAACAGCAGAAGGGGTGTATTTGTTACATGTTAGACATGGGGGTTGTGATTTTGGGGTCAGAGCGCAGTTTTACATGTCCTTTTTTCCCTGTGACGAATACATGTAATAGTCCTGGCATTGTGTGATTATTGCTGGGTTTTCTTCAAGAAATGAAAAGTCCAAAAGATGGCAAAAAAAATTTGAAAATACTCTAATCACAGAATTTAAATAATTATAGAAATTTGACACATGAGCACAAAGTTACATTATATTACCTGTTTGTAAATCGTTAATGTTATTTCTTTGCTTCAATGAAACTTACCTAACTTCGTGAGATCCTGTGACTGACAATGTTCATAGAAATTCTTTCTTCCTCATACTATCTTTGTTTCTAAATAATTCTTTTCCAAATAGATATTTGTGAACTACATTTTTGTCACTGGATATCTAAACACTAAAGATTTGGAAGTGGTTTGAATTCTGGTTATTGGCGCTTTACCCTAGGAGTCGTTATTTAAGTCTCATTGACAATTCTTGGCTAGCTATGTGCTGTCTGTTCTTATACAATGAATTTAATCTATTCTCTGCCTCCATTTATCTTAACATGCTTTCACTTAAAAGGAAGTAAAATTTTGCTCTGGTTAAGCTAATTAGATGAAATTTGTTCATCTGATGTAGTCTGTGCATTCTATTCTTTTAAGCTTACCTTGAATCTGTTTTTAAAAATCAAATTTCAGAAATCAAGTGTCACTGGTCTTGATGAACTTATTTTCATTTCAGTCACATTTTCACTTCATCTGATAATTATTTAGCCAACTGGATTAGCTGTTTAAGAATTCTAATGTTTCATTCTTAAACCCGAACCCTTTGCACAGCTTTCTTTTTTGGCCCTTTGCCATTATGAAATATTATGAATTTCCAAGTTGACTTTTCAAATGCCATTTTGAATTCCTGGCACCCCCATCATCCTAACCTTTCACTCTCCTCATTTAGTTATTCTGGTTATCTTTAACTTGACTTAGGAACCTTTCTCATTCATGCTGGTGCAAAAAACACTCTTTCTCTTTGTTAAACCAAGAAAACAAGTTGTGCATTCATTTCAAAATCAGAATTACAGAGGTAACCCTGAGCCCTGATGATTTCTGTGTTACCCTTTACTCATGTTAACGTAAATATGAGATCTTTAAAGACACTTTAATATTCCCCGGGCCTAGAATCTGGTCTTCAGAAGAGGCTCTTCATGAATTTGTAGGCTAGATTTTGAGTTCTGGGAAGACATTGTAAAGGGTGGCAGATGGTACAGAAATGGGGAAAGTGGATGCTCCCGGGAGTTAGGCAAGGGAGACAGGGTTTGGGGGCTGGGAATGGATTCTTCCTGGTCTTGGCCTGGACTGTCTTCAAGAATTTGTTCTTCCTGAATAGTCTCTTGGATTCTTCTGTGTTCGTAGAATGGTTTTGGTCACATTAGGTCCTAAATGATCAAATAAACCAATTTACCAGATGATTCACATGGAGAGAAAGGCACAGATTGAGTGTGTGTGTGTGTGTGTGTGTGTGTATGTATATATACATATATGTGTGCATATACACACATATACACACACTCAGTATGTGTGTATATATACACACACATATATATATACATATATATACACATGTATATATATATATGTATATATATGATTTTCCTCTTGTAAGTTCTAACTGGGGAGAAGATTGTTTCAATGCTGTCTCAGTCTCTGTCTGATTGAGATAGTCACTCACCCTGACCTTGGTAAATTTCCTGTGTATCAGCTCATCTCCTTATGTTGGAGAAGCAGCTCACTCAGCTGCTTCTTCAGTTTTTGCAGATTCTGGCCACTCCCAATAATCAGATTAATGATTGCAGCACATTACTTTTTACCTCCAACTAAACTGAAATTGTTGGTATACTCAATTTATTACCAAAGAGGAAATGATATAAGCCAAAGGCTGTTTTAAGAGCCATGCTTCCTCCAACACCAAGTTTATTTTAACAGATTATTATGTCACCGTGTTGTTATGCTTTTATCTTTGACCAAAGTGTTTATTTTGAGAAACGATTATTAAACTGCATTAAAAACATACACAGTGTTGCAGTAGTGTCTTAGTTGCAATACTGAAGGAAACTCAGGCTAAGTCTGGATAAAATTGAACGTGTATTTCTGTGTCTGAGTTTCTACCATGTTGCTTGTTTGTATTGATTTCTCTTGACATGGTCTTCTTTTATTGAACACTGCTTTTTCCCCCCTTATTCTCTCTCGCTCTCTCTTTTTAAATCCCTTTCCTATAGCTGTATGTGTTAAGAGCAATTGTAAAAGGAAACCAACTTATATTAAACCTGCCTGGAGTCAAAATGTAATCTAACACCTGTAGTCTGCAATTTGTCATCACTTCATGGATACTTTTTTTTTTAATAACAGATTTCCTGAGTTTTGACCTTAGGATACTGTATAATCCAAAAAAAGCAACAAAACTAAACCATAGTTTTTAATAAGTCTTATAATGTTAGGATGTGAAATTACAACCATAAGAGCCAACTCTAGTACATCATTGAAGTTAGAAATAGTGCTGAGTTATATATCTAAGAGAAAATGTCTTACCCGTGAAAATATCTTTGAGTGATGAAATCAAGAGGCAAATTATGATACTTGCTCAGCTTCTCCAACACTCATTCTCTAAGGTCTTCCTATTTTGCTCAAATAAGGATTTTGATTGTCTGTTTATAATTTTAATTATTTGTTTTATTATTTGAAAGGCAGAGAGACAGAAAGTCAGAGATCTCCCATCCATTGGTTCACTCTCCAACTACACACACTAGCCAGAACTGGCTAAAGCCAGGCACCCACAACTCCGTCTGGGCCTCTCATATGGGTGACAGGGACCGAACTGCTTGAACTGTTACTTGTTGCCTCTTAGAGTCTGCATTATCAGGAAGCTAGAACTGGGACTTGTCCCTAGCTGCTCAGATATGCGATACAAGAGCAGTGTCTTAACTGTTAACACTTAATACTCACCCCATTAATTGTAGGTTCACTTTGAATCTTATAGTTATTATTAGGGTGTAGAGTATGATCCATATAGTCCCTAAGTTTTCAAATATTTTGGTTTCAGGATCCCCTTTTAGTTTTAATATTGTGGACCCAATAACATATTATATGTATTAATGTTACTATATTAGAAATTCTGGGAAATTTTTAAAATATTTACTAGTTAAAAAGTTATACATGCGTATTTATAAATGATATATGTTATGTAAAATAATTATATTTTTTCAGACAAATAATGGAAGGGTACCAATGTTTTATAAATTTTTGCTAATATTTTAAAAGAATGGTTTGATAGAAGACAACTGGATTCTCATAATTGCTTCTGTGTTTAATGTCATATAATGCCTGGTATTGCTTGAAGTCAGTAAGAAAATCAGGATTCATACATGTAACTAGAAAAGGGAAGAGTACCTTAATAGGTTTCCTGAGATAATTGTGATATTCTGCTTTGATAATATAAGACTGTTTCAAAGAGGATATGGAAATGCATACTATGAAAAAACTATGTATGGATTCCAGTGCTTTTTACATTAAGTAAATATCCTTTATTTCCACTTTCTGTGAACTTTCTGAAGTATCTTCATATGATAAAACTTTACAAGTAGAAGCTTCTTACAGGCTAGTTGCCAGATGGAATTGAATCTGAAACCATGTTGATCTTTCATAGTTTATACTTTGTCACCTTATAACCTATTGGTCTGCCTTACACTTTGAATCCATCTTTTACCCATTCATAACTTTTAACATCATACATTGGTCATATGGGAAATGTTGGGTTACTAACTGATGCATCTCTTTCAAAAGCTGACATATTTCATTATATGACATGTTTAAAAAACAAACCTAGAAACATTTGTTAAATAACCACCAGTATCATGAGAGAAGTCATTCAGTATTGAGACACCATTAAGCTCAATGGTGACAGCTGCAAGTTTCCAGAATTGTGATTTCTGCTTGTAAGGTCAGAGTTTATCACTGGCAACAAAGCTAGTAAGATACTTTTATTGAAGTGACAGACTCATTTCATTGTTAAGGAAATGCCCGCCAGACCCCTAAATCTGAAGGACCATGGTTTGTCTGGTCATTCATTCAAGTGAAAATAAAAATCTAACACAAAAGTGGGTAGCCCAGCTTTCAACTCAATCACACTAGTCCTCTTTCTCAAGATAACCATCTTACTTCAGCATGTTATAGAAATGCTTTATGCATATGTCTCACTTTCTCTCATGGAATATTAAAAAGAGGTGTACTTTGAGATCTAAGTAATTAGTGAACTTTTACTGCTTCATCAAAATATTCCTGAATGAAAGTGGCATTAGGTGGCCAGCATTGTGGTGCAGTGGGTTCAGCCACTGCATGTGACACCTGCATCCCATTTGTGCAGCTGTTCAAGTCCTGATTGCTCCATTTCTGATCCACCTTCCTGCTAATGCACCCAGGAAGGCAGCAAAAGTTGGTCCAAGTACTTGGACCCTTACACCCACATGGGAGAACCAGATGGAGTTCAAGGATTCTGGCTTCTGCCTGGCCCATCCTCGGCCATTGCAGCCATTTGGGGAGTGAACCAATGTATGGAAGATCTTTCCCTATCTGTCTGTAACTCTGCCTTTCAAATATGTAAATAAATCTTTAAAAAAATGTAAAAACAAAAGTGGTATACTTTTTGTCATGAACTTGTGGCAGTGAACACAGAACTATAGGTATAGTTTGGTGTTACTGCCTTTATTGTCACAGGGCAACGATTTCTCCACCATTATTTATATACCATCAGTACACATTTCAGCAAGTCAAAAAGGTAATTAAGGTTTTAGTTTTGCTGTGAAATAGTTTTGATGAGTGTAATGTTTTCATGGATTCCACTTTGAGAATCACCTGTTGTGGTTTGGGATAGGAATTGGATTTGAAACCAGAACTTTGTGACCCCAAAATTTCTCACAACTGTTCTACGAAGCCATTTTATGTGTTAGGTAATACCCTAATTTTTTTAATATAAAAATAGTTAAAAAAAAAGAAAAAATTGTATCCTTGCTTTCAGATACACACTAAATGTAAATTCCTATAATTAGTGACAGTTTCTTTACTTTTTAAACATAGTTTTGCTAAAAAGGAATAATAGCAAGAGAAATAATAACCGGTTCTGCTGAACAAGAATAATGACTGGGCTGAAAGTAAAGAAGAGAGAATATGGAATTAATTTAGTGCTGCAGAACCGAGACGTCCTGAGTACTTACTGTGTGCCAGCCATATGGTGTGCCAACATACAGCTTGCAGTTGGTAGGTGGAACAGATATATAATGGTTACATTTATATTTACATGAATTACTAATCACTAATGCTGTTTTCCCTGCTGAATTTTTGGGTCAAAATTAGCCTCTAATGATGATTTGAGAAAAAAAGGGGGGGTAGAGATAGACTGTTAGAACTTCAGTTAGATACTTGATATGTAGTATATTTGTGAAATAACACATACTCATTCATCATTTTAACAAATTTTGATTGAGTGGCACACAAAAACTTTTAACTAGTTGTTCCTAGTATTGTTAAAATATATTTTTCTCAGAACTTTCAGTAGAAGCATGCTTTCCTTTGTTGTATCAGCTATTTTCTATTCTGTCATCATCAATGAGGTGAAACTAAACAAAATAATTCTGATACTAACCCAACAAAACTTAAGGCGAAAGTCACTTGTTTGTGTGCTCATCTTCTGCCCTTTAGGGTCTGAAGCTCTGGACAAGGCTCAGTCCTGTGTGTAAGGCTTGTCAGAGAGCAGCCAATGTGGCCACCTGGGAAACTGTTTTAACTTATTACCACACTGGATCAACCACCCCATACAGTCACCTCCTTAATAATTTCTCATTTTCCCTATATAAAATGACCACAAAGTCTTGGCTTATTATATGTAATCCAGTTCACCCCATAATGATACAGTGAATTATATACTTTCCTAAACTTAATCATTCAAGATCTCACTTCCTTCCCTGCAGGCAAAAACCATTATATTTTACACATGGCTCCCAGCTGGTTTTCATTGAGGCCTTCAAAATCTATTTGAACACCGAGAGCTTTAAGAAGAGCTGCTTTATCTTTGCTAGTCAGATTTTGTCATGGTCCCCTTAGGTCCTTTTGTTTTCAAAGTTTTCAGTTTTGAAGGCAGAGAAACAACATGTGTCCATATTAAAAGTGTGCTTTGTGAGTGGGTAAGGGACTTCTGAGTTTTAGTTTGAAGTTGGTGTCTCTTTTGAATATATTCTCTTTCTTAATCACCATCCTCACATCCATCTATAAACATACAAGTTGTATTTCAGCCCAGAGAGATTTCAGCAAATAAATGAGAAGAGACTTGCTAGACGTTTAGCTTTCTGTTTGTGTACATTCTACCCATAATTTATTCATCTACCCTCCGTTGTTGGATTTAGGATTCCTTACTTAAAAACTTTGTAAATTCATAGGTTCAGTTATTGTAGACACTCCATGAATATTTGATAAATTGGTACCTTTTTTTTTTTTGCTGTGTTAACCCAAGGCTGATTGTTTTAAACATTATTCCTTTTAGATATGATAAGCACTTCAGCTAAGGAAGGCAACCATCAGTTAAATGTAAATTAGCCATTCTTTTGAGGATAGAAGTGCCAGGGCACGCTTCTGGCTGTTTTTACGATAATGTTACAATTTGTGATTCTCTCATGAAAGTCCAGTAATATATTACAAGCTGAGTCTTCCTTACTGGGTATGGATCTGTGAATATTTTCTATTCTGTCTAGTAATAGTAGCAGCTTCCAAGTTCTGTTCTGTTCTGTGTCTGGCTAGATCTGATGCTGTGACTGCAGTTCATTGTGAAGGTTTTCTGTCATCCTGTAGTAGAATGCCCAAGTCCCACACCTCCCTCCCTGGCTGCCTCCCAGTTGTTTTTCTCCAGCATCAAACAGGCCAGTGCACTTTCTGTGATGAAGGAAATGCTGTGCTGTTCAGTATTGCATTGCACAGTGTACCGTCGGGCACTTGAAATGTGGTTAATGCAACTGAGAAACTGAACTTTTTCTTCTTTAGTTTTAATTAATTTAAATGTAATAGCCAACCAAATACATCAACTATGCTCCTTCCTCCTGGCCTTTCTGCTTGCTGTGTTCTCCGTCTGGAAAGTTATTCATGGCTTAGCCCTCCCTACTTTAGGCCTCTGCTCTGGTGCAGCTTCTTTAGGGAGCTGGCTGAGTCACCGTATCAAAAAAACTTCCCTTCTCCCAATATCCCTCCTTACGCATTGCTCTGTTATTGAGCATAGTATTTATTGCTTCCCGATATTTTATTTATGGTCTATCACCCCTGCTCTAGAGATATTGTTCAATTTTTCTATATAACCTTGCTCATGGAAGGCAGGAAAACACAAAGCTAAGGGCAAGGACTTTAAAATAGGCAGATATACTTATTTTTAAACATTTATTTACTTATTTCAAAGAGTTACAGAGAAAGAGGGAAAGACAGAAAGAGATAGAGAGGTCTTCCATCCACTGGTTCATTCCCCAAGTGGCTGCAACAGCCAGGGCTGAGCCAGACCCAAACCAGGAGTCAGGAGCTTTATCCCGGTTTCCCACATTAGTGGCAGGGGTCCAATCACTTGGGCCATCCTCTGCTGCTTTTCCCAGGTCTTTA